TCTTTTAGTTTATAAATATTTTTCTGTTTTAATGCATTTACCTCTATTCGAATTGTTTCGAACTAATTCGAAATATTGCATGTAATTTTGCGTAATATATTTCGTAATTTTATGTTATTTATTGCGCAATATTTCGCAACTTTTTGCACAATATTATGTCCAGACCGTAATTATTGCGCAATATTTCGGGCTGTAATAACTTATATAAAATTACGTTAATATATTTCGCTGATGTAATTCTGCTTCTAATTTATCTAGTTCTTCTTCTTTGAAGTCTTCTAATTCTTGATATACTGTTTCAGGTACATATATAGTATATGTTTGTCCTCTAAAGGTACCATGTACTGGTTTGTAAGTTGAGGATTGTTCTTCATTATGTATATTATTATAATATGGTATTTCTATTTCTTCATTAGAAATTTGGTCTGTGTGTTTTGAGCTAAGACTTGGGCTTTTATATCTTTGTTGTTTTCTTTTATAAGAATCTGGTGATGGTGTATAACCTCTTTCATTTCTTTTTCAGTCAAGTGCATCAGCACTAATTTCAATAGTAGGTGTTCTACTTAAAGTATGTTGACTTAATGGTGAAGATGTTGTTGGTCTAGATGTGAATTTATTTTTAATTCCTTGTCCTATGTCTTTGAAGAACTTTGTTACTTTTGGTAATACTCCTTGAGGAATATCTTCATTCCTTCTAGAGGCTTGTGATAGCCTTTCATTTAAGAATATGTCATCTGTGGGTGAATGTGATATTCTTATTCCAATTTGGTCATTTTCTCTAACAAATTCTTTATCTTTGAGTACATCATATTGTTCATATAGTTTGTAGGTATTTCTTCCTTTTGGATCGGGTAGTAACATTTGTGGTTTTTCCTTTTTCCTTGCCTTGATGACATCTCTATAAATTCTTCCTTGAATTTCTTTGTCATCATACATTTCTCCCACTTTTTCTAATTGAGATTCTAAGAATTCTTTGTGTTTTTTATATAATGCTTGTTTTGTAGATTCATCTTTGCAGTGTGCTTGTGCTGTTATTAATGCAGTTACTGCTGCTTGTTGTTCAATGAGTCCTATATCATTGAATTCTTCAGCGGTTATATCTAGTATTCTGTGAATATCTTTATTATATTCTTCTTGAAGATCTTTTATATCTTCTCGATGTTTCTATATTGTTGCATCATTTGTTTCATTTAATGTTGATAGTACTTCATATAAGTATTCTCTTCTTGTTTCTGCAGGTTTGTCAGTATCTTTAATTTTTGTTATTTTTTGGATTGATTCAAGATATTCTTCTATTTCTTCTTTAGTTAAGCCTTGAGTATAACTGTAGGTTTTATTTATTTGCTCCAATCTCCAATTGAGATCTTGAATTGTTTGTTTAATTTTTGTGTCTTTGGCTATTTCTCTATCAAGTATAGCTTTATCTAATCTATTTAACTTTTGTTTAATGATTTGATTTATTTTTCGTGGTTGATCTTTAGAAAGTTCATCATCCTTCTTTTTTCCTTTCTTTGAAGGTAGTACCTTATTTAAAGTTTTTTCTACTTCCCTATATATTTGATTTAAATGTTTATTATTCAAATTTTATTTGCAGGTTGTTCATTATTTGCCATAAAGGTTGTTTTTGCTAATCTATCTGCTAAGTCAGATACGTCTGGGTCTTCAAATTGAAATCCTAAGGGTATATATATTCCTGATCCTTGGGATCCTATGATTTCACTTTGTTCTTCATCCTTTTCTTTAGTCCACTTTTGAACATTACGATCTTTTTCTGTTATAACGTCATTTGCATATTCTCGTAATTTCATTACTTTATGTATTTGTGCAATTTGATCTGATAATTCTATGTTTGGTATTTCTAGTACCATGGCACAGACCTCGTTGTGCTTTGCTATCATCTGAAATACATCTTGTATAATCATTGCGTTTGGATCTAATATATGTGCATGCTTGTCCATTCCTATTCCAAATATCACTTCCCGGAAATTGTTGTTTATGTGTACTAATTGTATTTCTTTTCCATACATGTAAAATACATTTTTGTATTCATTTACATGTTTTCCATTTCCTGCTGCATAAAAGTGTTGTGTATCGAAACACATTGCTATTCTTCTTTTTTCTTTATTTTTATCTTTATACCGTAATTTTTGATCTATACTATTTAGAATATCCATAAGGTCAGCCATTGTTGATTCATAGCATTTGGTACTTGTGCTATTTTCCAATAATAGTCCAATCCTTAGATTGTTTTTAACTATTTTTCTTAATATATAATTAATATTTTCTATTATATCTTCTTGATCGCAATCAGTTTTTGTTCCTAGGTGTAGTACACTCCATCGTATATTCATTTTATCAGCGCGTTTTAATTCTTGAATTATCCTTATTATTTTTCAGTTTATCTGTTTATTTCCATTATAATATGTAAATAGCTTGTCATTTATATATAATTCCATGTTGTGATGTAAAACCATTTTTAAATTAATGTTTTTATTTCCTTCTATTATGTTCATATCTTCCTGTTCATCAGGTGTTTCTTCTTTTACTGAATCCAAATATTTTAAGAATATTTGTACTATGTTAGATTGGGTTATAATAGTAGTTTTTACTATCTCATCCCAATGAGTATTGGTTGTTACTCCAATTAATTTGACTTTATTTTCGTTTTCTTTAACAAGTTCTCTAAGCTTTTTAACTTGTTTAGAGAATGACTCTGGTAAGAGATGTGTTATAAATCTCTTACATTTTCTTAGGTTATATTGTTTATCTACCCATTTCTTAGTTGACTCATTTTGTTTTATATTTTCTTTTGAAAACTCTTGTTTAGGTTTTTTTTCTAAGGGCGGTTTTGCTTTTTTCTTCTTTAAAGTGTTGTTATTGCCTTTTTGTATAGGACTTAAAATGGTTTTATTTTTAGATTGTAGGGTAACATTGTTAGTTACTATGTTAGACTCAACGGCTTTTCCAATATCATATTGTTATTGATGTGTAATTGGTTGTTAGAGGTTCGACTTGTTTTGTTTAGAGTATAAGTGGTAAGTTTATTTTTTACCACGTTGGGCACCAATGGCAGGTTTTTTTCGCTTTTGCCTGGGTTACTAGTTTTTCGAGCAAGATAACTAGCTGCACGTGATTTGCTCTTTGTTAAATGTATTTTCGGCTGATTTGTGGTATCAAGTTGGGTGATTTCATCAGAATTTGTGTGCTGACTATGAGATTTCTCCTTTTTTATCGTAAGGTTCAAGGTGTGATCCAGGTTCTTGTCATAAAACCGGTGTGATAGATTCGCTTTTTGCACGTCCGTTGTTATGTCTTGGTATGATATCGGTATGTCTCTGATTGTTATAATTTGAGTTTCTCTATTTTTTTTTATTCTCATTCATACTTGATCTACTTCTGCTAAGAGTATATATGCTTGTTCTCCTTCTATTACTGAAGTAGGGTTCTGGGGTTAGAATTCTAACCCTAGCTTTCCTGCCTTTCTAACGTCCTCTACAAGCCTTTCTAGCTATATGAATCCTATATCGAATTCAAGCTTTAAATTATGTTAGAGCCAAATCCTGTT